CACTGATTTGTATTATTTGAAAAGAAGATAAAGAAAAATAATTTGTCTTGTCAAAGGGTGTTCTAAAGTAATTGAATTAACCTGTGTGGACTTTTGACAAGAAAGGAGAATTATTAGGAGTGTTAGATACAACCGTGATATCTTATAGTGTAAAGAATTTTTGTACATACGTTTGACTTGTTTTGAATATATTATGTACTGTCCATTTATTGTTTGTATTTATTGCCAACAAGTCACAGACACCTACTGTGGAAGAATACTCAGCCCATTCATATAAATAAAACCCTGACAAAGTTTAACCCTCTTACCCTGATTATCTTTTACTGCACACAACACAAGGTTTAATATCTCACATTCTAAATTTTATTAAACTACTTTTTGTTTGTTATTCCAATTAGTATAGTATAAAATCTTAGCTAATAATCTATATTTAAATATCATATGTTTTAAGTTCATAATTTCATAAGGCAATATTTTAAAAAATCCTGTGACAGATGGCACACAATTTCTCTAGATATCTTTTCATCGCTATTTAATCCACCACTTTCCCAGAAACTACAAAATTAAACTTAAAATTCTGAAAGAGAGGATGTTACAGGTGGGTGTGGCAGAATGGGTCTGATTTTCTATTCGATAGCTCTGTAACCAAACAAATTTCAAGACTTTGTACAAGGTTTGTATAATTTCATAGTTTTTAAGGGGTGGTGGATAAAATAGGGATGATGACTTGCTAAGAGAAAGTGTGTCACACTAGTGGAAATTCAGGATTTTTTTAAATATTGCTTTGTAGAATTAAGAACCTACAACTTCTATACTATAAAAATATAGATTAATAGCTAAGCTTTTATGCTATTCTAATTGATATAACATAAACAAAAAGTAGTTTAATAAAATTTTGAATGTAAGACACTAAAACTTTGTGTTATGCACAGTAAAGGATACCCAGGGTGATAGGGTTAATCAGTCATGAAAGCAGTTTAAACAAACACAAACTAAGTTTATACTGATGGATTAGTTTTTATTGTAATTGGAATTTCTACTGGATTATTTACAAAATTATTTTCGTAGTGTTTGTGTAAATGTGAAACTATGATATATGTATACTTATTTCAAACTTTAATTATAATAATTCATTATATAGTCAACTTTAATTTTTCCCTTTTTATCAATGTGATTACACAAAACTTTAGTCACATTCATTTTCAGATTATAGTTGTATTACAGTTTTCATACAAAACTATTTTTATGAGAAAAAAGTTTAGAAAGCAATGTGTTTAAATTTAATACTAGAATTTAATTCTCATTCATTAAAATATTCAATGTTGATGGAAATTTACAGAGATTGTATACACACTTCTTAAGATTGGAATCAAGGGAAGTTATAGAATTTTATAATATTTGTTAATATAAATAAGTGTGTATTATAGTGTTTGTTATGTTTATATTTACAAAAAAATATGAGTTGTTATTGTGTGATATAGTTTTTTATCCTCAACCAACCCTAAAATTAATTGAGAATTATTATTATTATTTTGTTTTACTTTTCAGGCACCAGGCTGATTCCATGTGATTTCATTGCTCCTGTTAAGACACTGAATCCTATCAGTGATGGACTTCATCATGAGGTTAGTGTGAGCTGATTTTCTTAAATGTAAACAAAATATTTTAGTCACCACTGAGTGTAGAGTTGACATAAAAATATTGTAATTTACACGACAGTAATATTATAAAGAGTTATGTGTGAAATTAACTGTGGTCAAAACCAGTAATTGTGGTGACAAGACTTCAATAAACCATATTATAAAGATTGTACTAACCATGTGATTGTTAAGCACAAGTTTTCATTAACTTAATTTCCAACTTTTACCAATGAAGGTACAGCATGGCCAGGTGGTTAGGGAGCTGGACTCGCAATCTGCGGGTCGGGGGTCGATTCCCTGTCCAACCAAACATGCTCGCCCTTTCAGCCTTGGAGGCATTATAAAGTGATGGTCAATCCCACTATTCGTTGGTAAAAGAGTAGCCCAATAGTTGACGGTGGGTGGTGATGATTAGCTGCCTTCCCTCTAGTCTTACACTGCTAAATTAGGGAAGGCTGGCGCAGATAGCCCTCATGTAGCTTTGGGCAAAATTCAAAACAAGACAAAAACAATTTAGCAATGAACATTGTGAAACGGAATATGCAACACTATGTTATGCTAACCATTTGCTTAATCCTTTCTTCACAGGCATCTTTTATGTTATGAGGTTTTATTGAGTTACAATAATTCGTATTTTAACAGTATACAAGTTTTAACCTGAAGGTTACCGGCTACTAACTTTCTTAGTAGGCAGTGCAAGTCTTGCTATATTTCATTCCAACAATAAAACTAGTGGATGAATATGTTTTAAACTTCATAAGAACTTTCAAAGATGTGTGTAGTTTAAGAAACATAAAGCCTATTACTTTGATAAATTTAGTTTTTTTGCATTATGGTCTTTAATATCTTGGAAAATTACATTAGGAAATGGTATTTATAAGAAATGATTACGATATTTACATTTGTTACAGATTTGAACTTGTTACTTTTTATGTTTTAGTACATTATTTTGAAATACCAAAAAAATTGTATCTTCCATAAAATGCAAATTTTTATCTATTTTTAATTTTTTTAATAATCACGTACTCTTCTTATGGTTTCAAGTAATATACAGACCCGAAAATAATATTTGTAAATAAACCTAAACAATAAATGAGTATTTTTATTTTTAACTAGGATTTCAGGCTTATATATGTACATAAAAACATTTTAATTTTGTTTCATAAATATATTTTTATTTCAAATTTATGTTTATGTTTCATTGCAGTCGTACTTTTGTTTATTGTGCCGAATAAACCGTGGGGTCAGCAGCGTGAACTTTGTACGTTGTCCATAAACTATCTCACCCCTGTTGGTGGTCACTTTGAACATATTTCCATGTATATTGTTTCAGAATAGAGACAAAACTAATTGCCACTACTAACGAATGTATGTAACAGTTTATAGTACAGGTGGTTTCAATAAACACCGCCTGACCCCTTGTTACTTGATACATCCTGTTAGAAG